TTGAAGCGATCGCGTTGGTGCTGGGGGGCCTCGGGGCGGCCCAGGACGGTAGCAGCCCGTGCGAACCCCGCCAGTACGATTACGATTCGGTCGTGTGCGTGTGCACGGCGGAGTACTGCGACTTTCCGGGCGTGATTCACGCCCCGGACGACACTGAGCTCTACACGGCCGTCACGTCGAGCAGGGACGGGCTCCGGTTCGAGACTCAACACCTGCCGTTTGCCGACCGGACCGGTTCGTCTTCGAGTTTCTTTGGTCTCTTCGCATTTTTCTCGCAGATTTTTCTTTGCTTTTTCTCCTCCAAGATGTGCGCAAATGGCACGCGCCGACTTTAACCTGCAAGTAATACTACTTTTTTTCGCAAAAAAATTTGCTTGTCCCCTAAGTCTTGAATGGTACAATATCGCTCGTCGAGAGGAAACCACTCCGTTCGCTCCAGAGCGACGAATTCCTTCTCGCGTTCCTTCGACAGACGAGACGACGACGAGGACCCGCGTGCGGGTGAACCGGCAGGAGGAATACCAGAGCCTGCTGGGATTCGGCGGGGCGTTCACGGATGCGGCCGGACTCAACATCAAGTCTCTGGAGCCTGCGGCTCAGGAACTCATCATCAGGTTTGCCTGCATTTATTACAGATCACTCGCCTAAGTCTTGAATCGGAAATAGTGGTGTTGGGTGGTCGAACGCTCTAAAGAGCGACGGAATAAGTCTACATCGGGATCGATGTTCCCTTGAGGACTGAGTGTGAACGCTCGAGCCAGCCTCGAAAGGGAAGACGGCGAGATTTCCGCGCCTCCCAGAAGATGGCAGCACTGGGGCGGTGGGACAACGGCATGTCACTCGCTCCGCTCCAGTCTCGGGAGGAGGGAGACGCGCGAAGAACGTCGTGGAAGTCCCCATGGGAATTCGAGTGGCTGCGGTTCCCGTGCTTTATTGGGTTTTTCGTACCTATGTCACCAGCATGGTCGCGTCGTTGCCCAGCAGAGTCTCCCTCCTCTCCGAACAAACCAGCTGAAATACCATCGTTGAACTCGATTTGTCGTTCGACCTCACGTCACGATTGCATTCGTGGGGACCGAAGCGTCATCCCAAAGGAAAGAGGACTTTATCCCAATTTCAGATTCATAAAAACAAGAGTTTTTCCGTCTCTTCAATGTCGACAGATCTCACATTCCTTCCTGTCGATTAGAAAGCAGCCAAAATGAGTAATTCCACTGACTCCTATATCACTGGAATTATCATCTTTGTCGTATTCTCAGCATTCAACCTTGAAATGAATAAGATCTTATTGCCTTAGGCATATTTAGAAAGTCCCAGACAACTAGATGTGTTTTCGATGGTCCGCGCGTCGCAAGGAGATGAGAGTATGAAGTGCAGGATGCCAGATGTGGCATTTCATGCGTACGCCTAGCAACCCTGTCGACGCGGCCGGGAGCAGCCGCTCTCCCCCATCGTCTACTATGGATCCGTCAACCGCGAGGGTCGGAAGGGAAGTGGATGTTTTCGTGGAAGACGGGCACCCAGACTCAGACGGAAAGCTGCGCATGCGCAGTGGGTCGTGTTGTCCGGTCGCTATGATTATCGAGGACAGACGGAATGGCACAAAAAAAATGACAGACCGATCACAATATCAATTTCCCCATAGTAACTACTGGGATATAGCAGATGAAAATAGTTGTATGAGGCTGAACTCTTCATCTCCTTCCCCCCAGATCCTACTTCGCCCCAGAGGGAATCCGCTACAACATCGGCCGCATCCC